GGATTATGTCCCACAATTGTCCTAGTTTGAAAGTGATTTGCAAGAGGTATAACCGATTGACATATTTGGCCTACTAACTTATTCATTGTTTCATTCAAAGTGTTTAGTTGTTTGGCCATGTTGTCATAGTGTACATTCCCATTTTGGGTAAATCTTTCCATATTATGAATACTTCGAAGATTTACCTTTTCAACAACGTCTTGTGTGAGTTCTCCAAGTAATGCACGCATGGTTCGAGGACTCAACTCCGTCATTGGTTCGTAATGACTGTTACTGCTCTGATTCTGTCCATCTGTTCGTGGAGAGGCATGCTGCTCCTCATATCGCTCGATCACAGACTGGACTCCTCCCTGACTTGCTGCTTCCTTATCGGATCTCTGAGGCATATTGTTTCACCTTTTGTACTTTCAACATCAAACACCACTGTCCCACTGGGCGTGCCAAATTGTTTCGCGCGGGTTAGTCGCTAACAATTAAAATGGATCAGACGATTGTGTAAGGGACAAACCTCTTGAGACAAAGTCCCAAAAAGGGGTGTTCTTTAATTGGCGATGACTTTACAATTGGAAATCAAAAACAAAATGCCTCCAAGGGGTGCAAGTACACAAGTTACTGAAAAAAGACTTTAAGTCTTAAACTAAGGAAATTAAAATTACACGTTCTCTGTTCGAGAGTTTTTGATTCCGTCTTTTGCTCTATGTCTTTTCTTCCTTTTATACTCCATGGATGATCTTTTTTGTGATCAACCGCCTAAAAACTATTTGATCGTTCTGCAACTGCCCACTTTCCTCATAATGGCTAGCTTATCATGAATACTGCCTTTTTTAACTGTTATCATTACTCTTCGTCGTTCAACCGTTTTCGATTGAATTCCTTGAATCGTGGAACGTGATATGGCTGCTTTAATAACTGCTTTGATAACTGTACTTTTTGATAACCACAACGCTTTTGTTAAGACTTTGGGCGACTTGAAGGTTTGGGCGAGAATAGAGTAACAGCTCTGGACGACTGCATGACACTCCATTCGCTCAGATTCTGGGCGACTTGCAATCTTGGGCGATGGCGTTACCGCGTTCTCGGGCCTCCGTATTTGGGCCTTCATTTTGAATTGTTTGATTGGGCTTCGTTCTTTGGGCTATCTGATTTGGGGATCTTCCAATTGGACTTCATTCCTTGGGTCGTTCGATTTGGGCTGAATTTTTATGTGTCAATAGTTTCAATACCTAATGTCGGGCATATATAAAATAGTTTTCCTCCAAAGATATTGGTGTTGAAAAAAATTAAAGATTGATAACCTAAATGCTATAGAAACTTCACAATTTATTATTCTAACTAAAATTTGTTATAGATGGAAACAAAATTTATACTTAAAATACGATAATTTGAATTATTACCGTAGATTTTATTTCTCCCTTGTTTGATGATATTTTTTTGCAAAATGTATGATTAAAAAGTTGGAAATTTTTTTTAGGTCTATGTACAAAATTTTTTATTGCGTAAATGTGTGATTGTAAAATAAGTATGAAAATCAAATAATTTTGTCTGAAAGGGAGACAAACACTTCTGTTTTGAGATCCCTTTTTGCGTTTATATTTTTCCCCCATTTTAGTACAACCCATTCCAGTTGCTTTAACCGGCAAAGGGAAGAATTCGGTAGAGGTGTGGGGGTGGGAAAATGACGTGGTAACGGATAACTGGTCAGTGGATGGTGAGTAGGTCCCACAAATAATTTCCAATATTTCAATTTGCTGACGTGTACGCCGACCTGGAGGATAAGTTGAAAGCTCAAATCTTTGAACCAAAAATCCAAAATCCAAAACCCCTCTACTGTCTATCTTTTCTCTCCATTCCATTAATATGGAGATCATAGCTACTGTAAACACAAAACCCTTTGCTGGTCGTTCAGTTTCAGCTCTTGGGCTCTCTTTGCCATGCCTTACATCTCCATTTTATAACCAACGGAAAAGAAATCTGGTCATTAGGGATTCAGTTGCTGTTGAACAGCAGACTCAAACTAAGGCTGCTGTGATTAGAATTGGTACTCGAGGAAGGTAATATTCGTAATTTGACTATCTGGGTATGGATTGATTATTGTTAAATTTAAGTATTCAAAAGCACGTTTGACTGTTTGATTTGTGAAATTTTGTGATGGAGATTGCATGTTGAGCTGGTGTTATGATGGTTTAGTGTATATTGCAGAAAAAAATTGATTCTTGAGCTTGAATTAAGATGGATGGTTAAGCATCTATGCCAAAGATCGTGTCTTGATCTTAAATTCTTGAGCGTGTTTTAAAATTTATACTAAAATTGAATCCTTATTTTTTCAATTGTGAGTACTGAGGTAATATGCAGTTGGGCTCTAGCGATATTTTTCTGTATGTCATTATAGAATCTCGGTGTCTCCAGGTTGGTTTTCCAAGTTAATTTTATCCCTGCATTTGATGAGAAAATGAGAAAATTACTGAGTTTGGGATATTGTAACAAAATAATTACCCTTCTTATAAGAACTTGCCACTCCATTTTTGGCAGTCACCTTTAAGGATTTGGAATCAAGTTTTGTAGAAAACTGCAGTAAGAACGGTCTAGTTAAGAAATGTATATTCCTCCTCACCCCTCCTTTTCCAAGGATAGCTTTATATAAGTGACATTCTGTGGTGCGATCATTAAGAAAGAGACAGGCATAACCCGTACCTACTTTGCTTGCCAAGTACTAAGCCTTGACAGGAGAGAATTTGGAATGTTAAATAAGTGGTATGAAAAAACCCCTTTTTCAATGCCATGACACTGTATTTTGATGTGAAATTAATAATGAATTGACTTCTTGTTCACCTTCTGATAATGGCTCAGGTTGAGTTCAAAAACCTAAAGGAGATTGTGGTGATATGTGTGTATCCTTCACTTTGTACAACTTTGATCTGAAATATATTAGTACATGGTGGCTATCATGAAATATAGTGCTGGACATTCTCTTTGCTACCAAAAGTGACACAGTATAAAGATAATCCACATGATGCCTTTATAATGCTATGTTGTGCATCATTTTCTTTTATTTTGCACTTAATATCAGTCACAACTAGGAATCTTTATAAGTTTAGCAGTAAAAGAAGAAATGTATCAGTGATACCAGCAGCCATAATATAACACGTATACATGGATAAACTCTATAAAAATTTCTCTCCTCTCCCAATTTATTACTTTCTTCTATTCCTTTTCCTTTCAGCTAATCACATTTTCACATTGTTGGGCAAGAAGCTTTATAAACCTTTCAAGTGTAACATGTTAAAGACTATATCTCAAACCGATAAGAGGAAGATTATGGTTTCCTTACTCTCTAAACCCATAATCTATATTATTTAACCGTTGATATAAGATATTTCTGTATCTTATAAAAGAAATATATTTAATTCTTAAATTTACTGATTCATTTCCTATAAGGCTATAACTATTGTTTCTGTATTACAGCCCACTGGCCCTTGCCCAAGCTTATGAAACACAGAATAAACTGATAGAGACACATCCTGAGTTAGCTGAAGAGGGTGCCATTCAAATTGTGATCATTAAAACCACTGGTGATAAAATATTGAGTCAGCCGCTGGCAGATATAGGTGGAAAGGGTCTATTCACAAAAGAAATAGACGAGGCACTAATTAATAATGAAATTGATATAGCTGTCCACTCAATGAAAGACGTTCCCACATATCTTCCCGAGAAGACAATATTGCCTTGCAATCTTCCACGTGAAGATGTTCGGGATGCCTTTATTTGCTTAACTGCAGCTTCACTGGCTGAGCTTCCAGCGGGAAGCACTGTGGGCACTGCTTCTCTAAGAAGGAAGTCCCAAGTACTCCACAGATATCCTTCACTAAATGTGAGTATGTTATGCAATAAAAAACCATTTTGCTTTCTCGTTATATACCAAATTGATTTACTCATGTTATCAAGAAGAATCCATAGTGATCCTCGAGTTAAGGTATCAGCGTGAAAGCCAAATCAGAATTGCAAAATATGGTGTTAAGATTTTTTAGATCTGGCAACTGCAGACATGTCACAAAGATGCCAGTGCTTTCCATTGACAGGGACTCGTCAAAGACAATTTTTGGGAACAACTGTTGTTTCTATAAATTTTGAAATGTCAAAATTTGCCCTAACTATACTTCAAGAATTTCCTTTTACTTTTCCTACAAAATTACTCCTTTTGTCACAGGCAGTTCTCCCAATGCTGTTATGATCTTTCAATTGATATAATCTGCAGTTATTTGATTTTTTCTGCAACATGCAAGTATCCTACTTTTTGTGAACGTAATATTTTCACAGCTGTGTCAGGTTATATTTGTATCATAGTTCCAACTTCCCATACACATGGAACACTTGTGAGACTTGTTTGTAACAATACATCTCTCAAGGACATATATATGCACCTTGTTAGGTATAAAGGTTAAATATAATTTTTACCTTCTCGGGTCTAGGTAAGTTCAAGTGGAAGTTGGCAGGTACTGTTCTAAGCTTGTTTTGAAGTGTCGATTGTATGATGCAAGGTGGATGCTGACTATGAGCTCGATCCCATCTCCTTTGGCATGCTTGATTTGGCTTTTCAGTTAGCATTATTCAGTCTTCAAAAATCTTGAGTGGCTTTCTATGCTGTCTCATTTTCCTTTACTTCCATTTTTCCTTAATTTATTTATAGGTGCTCGAGAACTTTCGAGGCAATGTACAGACAAGGTTAAGAAAATTAAATGAGGGAGTGGTGCAGGCAACATTATTGGCATTAGCGGGGCTCAAACGCCTCAACATGACAGAAAATGTTACTGCCGTTCTGTCTATTGATGATATGCTGCCCGCTGTTGCTCAAGGAGCTATTGGGATTGCCTGTAGAAGTGATGATGAAAAGATGGTATGTGGTATTCTGCACAAACTTTTCAACTTGTTTCGTTCTTATTAATTATCTTCATCCTTCTCTCTTTCTCATCACTTTTTCCCAATCTTTGCATTTCCGTAGGTGAGTTTTGGTTCCCTATCATGCTGAACAATACAAATTGATACTGCCACACTTGACGTTTTATCTGGTTTTATCAAACCCTTCGCATATATAACACTGCCATGGGCTTCTGTTCCATCGGAGCAACAAAGTTCTCCGGTCCATACTTTTTGTATCTACCGTTCCACGGACTGAATTGAGACTAGTTTCTCGTTTTCTGTAGCTATGTTTATGAAAGTTTGAAATTGATCTCCGGGCAGGATAAAAACTTCCCACAGCTGATATAGTTATCTTGCCACATCAGCAGTGGAAAGTTTTTTCTTGCTCATTGGGGACAGGAGGCCTATATGAAAGTTGAACTCTGCTGCCTGTACAGGGCGTGTACAGGCCACACATATTATGGGGGGGGGGGGGGGGAAATTTTTTTTTTAAAAATATAAAAAATTTATTTTTTTTTTTTTTTTTTGG